ATCACCCATTTTGTATATTTTATTAGTTTCCTGGTTTTGAGTGTTGTGTAGTATTCCATTGTGTGAATATCCCACAGCATCAGAGAAGGGTTTCAAAAAAAATTTCAAAGGATCCTACAGGGCCTCCACAAGAAAAATATTGATAACTCAATTACAAAATAGGCAAAAGACATGGAAGGACCTTTCACAGAAGACATTCAGATGGCCAATAGACACATGAAGAAATGCTCAAAATCACTGGCAATAAGAGAGACGCAAATCAAAACCACAGTGATATGCCATCTCACCCAAATATCAGTGGCAAAGTTTAGCAGAATAGCAAGTAAAAAATGTTGGAGAGGATGCAGAGAGACAGGTACTCTCATATACTATTGGAGGGATTGTAAAATGATACAACCACTCTGGAAGGCAGTTTGTCATTTCCTCAAAAAGCTGAACAGAGAAATTCCATATGACCCAGCTATCTCACTGCTTAGAATATACCCCATAAAAATTAAGACTGAGGCATAAACTGAGATTTGTACAACAATGTTCATAGCATCATTGTTAACCATCGCAAGAACATGGAAACAGTCCAAATGTCCAACCACGATCTAATGAATTGAGAAATTGTGGTACATTTGCATAATGGAATACTATGTAATACTCAGGAACAATGATTCTGAAAATTACTACATAACTTCAGAGGAACTAGAGAGCATTATACTGAGTGAACTACTCAGTCCCACAAAGACAAATAATGTATGAGACCATTACTATAGAAATACAAAGGTAACTGCTGCACCAATTGGCAGCATCAGTATGGATGGTGAAGAGATTGAGATAGTTAACAGTTTTAGTTTGCTTGGCTCCACAGTCAATACTCTTGGTACAGGAAGCCAGGAAATCAAGAGACTAATTGCATTGGGAAAGTCAGCTGTCAGGGACCTTTCCAAATTACTGAAGAGCAACAACGTCAGGCTAGAGACTAAGGTGTGCCTGAGCTGGGCTATGGTCTTTGCAATTACGTGCTATGCATCGTAGAGTTGGACAGCAACTAAGGATGATAATTGATGCCTTTGAGCAGTGGCGCTGGAGAAGAATGTTGAATATACCATGGACTGCTAGGAGAACAAATGGATTTGTCCTGGAGAGGGTGAAACTGGGCTGCCCCTTGGAGTCAAGGATTCTGAAGCTTCATCTGACATACTTTGGGCATGTTGCAAGGAAGGACTGGTCCTTGGAGAGGGACATTATGTTTGGGACAGCACAAGAGAGGAAGACCCCGATGAGATGGATTGATTCTGTGGTTGGAGTGGTGGGAGTGAGTGTGTTTGAGACGGCAAGTTTGGCACAGGATAGAGCAGGGTTTAGGGCTCTTGTACATAGGGTCGCTATGAGTTGCAAGCGACTCAACGGCACATAACAACAGTATAATGTGTATGAGGATCTAAGGGTGGAGGTAGGAGTAGAGGGATGAAGATCAGCATGGAAGATATCATAGGATTGCAAAATTTGATGGAAGGAAGGAGGGGTGGATAAATGAAATAGGAAAGATCTAGCAAGGATCTGGAAAGATGAGGTAACAGTGGGCATAGTTCAATGTTGATTAATTTTATAAAATAGATTAAATTGGAATGATTGTATGAAACA